GATTCAACTTCTTCCATCCTGTTTAAGCAGACTGATTATCCCACAGCCTCGTTCCCCTCCCTTGCTGCTCAGAATACTCCTCAGCTGGCTACTTGCTGTGGCTTTTCTTCCTCCTAAGTGGAACATTCCCCGAAATGCCTGTTCTTCCTGAGTGTTTTCACTCTGAAAAAATTTGGTGTTGCCTGACAGCTTGGCTCGGCCATCCCCATCCGAGCCAAGCTCCGTGTTCCCGGGAAGCAGTTGTGCCTGGGAGGCGGATCTCGCCAGGCTGGGCTGTGAGGTGTCCGGCTGATTGCAAYTAGCCCTGGAGTTGGGGAAGTTATGGAGAGAGCTGGCGTGGCCGAAGTTCATTCAGCAGCTTCATACGCTGCTTCTGCTCGGGTTGAAACACCACTGCGTGAAGCAATAGGGTCCCTCCGGCATCTGAGTGGATGTTTTCCCTTTACAGGAAGGGTTATGAATCTCCAGGAAGAGTAACGCTGGAATTTCCCATTAAAGGTGTTTGCTGCAATACCGGTACCTTTGAGGCTGTAAGGAGAGCTGTGGTGACAGCAAGGGGAGCTCTTCAAACAGTGTCCAGCCTGGGCACGGCATAAATGCAGTGAAAAGACCTCAGCCCTGAACCACTTGCAGCCCCAGTCCACAGAAGGCCAAGGCAAGGGGAGAGCAGAGGGATGGCCTGTGGGGTTTCCATGAACCAAAGCATGATTTATTAGGGGTTATTATCGGTTATGTTTCATTTCAGAGTGGAACACAGATGCCGATTAACTTCATTTTTGCAGGAATTAAACTGGAACCGTTTCAGCACAAAGGGCTACTACCGGTTGTAGGGTATTTGCAAGTGGAACAGATGCCATGCGGCTTAAGGAGCAGCTGCTCCACCCCGCTCAGCGGAGCACCTGGACGGCTGAACACTTTCTTTAGGGTGGTAAATTTACCCGGGGGTTTATTGCAACGTGTCCCCACCTCCTCTGGCTGAGCCCATCTCTGTACTAAGTCCAGCACTAATAAAACATGGTTTCTTTTCTGTGACAAGCCTATTAGAAAAGCAAGTGGCAGTGTTTAATGCAAACAAAGCACTAGGGCAAAGTGTAGGTTGTCTGGCTTGTTCCTAGATAGGCAAGAAAAATGGGTATTATTAGCAAAAGCAGCCACGCTTAATCATCGCTGGGTAATCACTTGGGTCTTGCCATGGACGAAATGCCTTCTGAAGGTGGGCAGAGCTGCAGCCAGCTTCTTAGCCCAGCTTCTTAGCCCGGCTTCTTCCCTGCTCCAAGGTTTGCCAGTGGGGCCAGGCTGTCAACGTCTGGGTGACCTGCAGCCCCAGCCACCCTGTCCCGAGCTGAGGATTTCCAGCCTCGGTGGTAGGATTGAACACCACAGTGAGACACGTACTAGGTGCTACAGGCTGCTTATAAAGTTTGTAATACGTCACTAAGCATCAGCTGCTTTCAGAGGTGGATGAACTAGTCTAGAGCGCCGTGACCTTGTGGGCATTTTTAGATGTCTAGATCCTGTTTTCATGCACTCACAGCTGCGTTCCTGCAGCAAGCCACGGTACAGGCTTCTCAGCTATGTGCAGGTACAAAAGCTTCCACGCAAGCTCCTTCGCTTGACCCTCAGGCGGGTCCTGCAGGTAGGGAGCAGGTTGCAGCGAGCACGGGTGGGACTTGCCACGAGAGGGAGACACGATGCAGGCGGCCCGTGTGTTCCCCAAACACCTCCACCTGTGTAAGGCAGCATAGCAGGGTATTTTGTAACGTGTCTGGACACCTATAGCTTATTGGAGAGGCCACGAGAGCCTGGACTTTGGACCCTAGGTTGTGCAGTAGGAACGTGGGCTGGAGAGAAAAGCGGGACTTGCCTTGGCCAGTCAGTGCTCCCGTAGCCACAGCACACGAGGCCTCTTGTTCTTTGGGGAGCGAAAAASCTGCTTCATCATTCTGATCTCTGAGCAGTGTCCTGTTGATAAGATCAGTTCACAGCAGCAGAGGAAAACGCCAGATTCAGGTCTGAAATATAAAGTGAACGGGGCCTATTTGTTTAATTTGAGCTTCTAAGGTTTAAATCCCGAAGGAAATTAAATTAGGTGCCTAGAGCAACGGCAGTCTGTCATGTTTATTTGCTGGGAATGTCACCTTTAATATCATGCATATATAACGTGTGTGTGTTAATGTAATGGGGTATCACACTGTGCGGGAGCAGGCATGCTGCAGGGGCTGGAAACCTGAAATATAGGGAGGGAGGCAAGCTGCGGCCGGCCGGGATTTATCCCCATCGCCCTCGGTGGGACAGAGCCTCGCTGTCGGCGTGACCGGCCGTGCTGCCCTTGGGCCCTTGCACCGGCAAGGGGGGAGGCAGGGAAATCTCACCTGGATGCGGAGGCAGCCCCCCCGGCGGGCTGTGGAGCCCTCTCCAGCAGTCCATGCATGGGGAGCATCCTCGGGAGGGCCGGTCTCGTGCGCTGGGCCCCCAGGTCGCTCCTGCACGTGGCTGCACTCGGGAGTCTCCCCGCTCCAGCAGCTTGGGGGGCCGGTTCCCCAGCAGTGAGGCCGGGGGGCGGTCGGGGTTGGGGTGTCGCGGAGGCAGCGCAGCTCCGCACTCCTCTTCCCCGCTCTGAGGGGGGTTTAGCTGGATTAACAGAATCCCCTGGCCGGCAGCAAGCGGCACGTGGGCTCAGCCACCTTGGTTGCAGCCGGGTCAGGGCTCGCTGCAGTGCTGCACGTCTGTCCCTAGCCTGGGAGGCTGTGTTGGGCCAAGACGTGTCCTGTCCTTCACCCTCTCCAACCTGGGCTGTTTACCCACGCACAGCCCGGCTCGTTTTCCACCACCCTCGGAGCAGCTGGTTCCCGTTTCCCATTCCCTTGCCTCTGGCACCTTGGGAACGCCCAGGGGTCTTCCTGCTCAGCGTGGCTTTTAGTCCTTGCCAGGAGCGTGGCTCCTCGTTCCTGCTCTCTCACCCATCCCAACCTCTGGCGTTTGTGCTCATCCGCGCATGGCTGCGTGTTCATTTCCTCCTTGCCTGATTGCTGCAAATACCAATTCCTCCTCCTTTTTCCGGCTGCTCGCTCGATTTTGATGTCTGCCAAATTGTTCTCATTCCCTCACCCTCAGCTCCGCAGAATCCGATCTGCTCCGTGCAGGGCCCCAGCTCCCACCCAGCGCTTCCTTCTGAGCTCGGCGCTCGGGTGGCCCTTCTGCCTCCACGTGCAGTTACAGTCTAGTAAGTCTGCACCGTGCGCAGTGGGTCTAGTCTACAGACCAGTTACAGCCTCCTGCAAGGAGACTGCAGTGGTTTGCAGCGGTCCGACGTGTTTCAGGGCAGTGTTTCTCAGCTTGCCAGTCTGCAGCTTGGTGCCAGGTTGCGGCGTCCTGTCCAAAGCAGCAAGCTCCTGGCTCGGAGCTAAAGCAAGGGTATTTTTCCAGGCTCGAGGTAGGATCAGAGGGACCTGGTGCTGCTGCCTGCAATAGGGAGGTTGTAGTTCCCTCAGCCCCAGGGAATGTGTGTGTGCTGGCAGCAGGAACATGGCAAGGTTGAAGGGAAGTGGGGTCACCTTGGAGCAATCAGGTCGGGGTTTGTTTTTTCTGGGTCACTTCCCTTACGAATAAGAAGGGAGACTGGTCTTCCCTTTCTTGGTCTGTCCTGTTGCCCAGTCATGTGTCCCCAGAGCAGCCCGCAGTGTCCCGTGCTTCCACCGAAGTTGCTGGCACCAAGGGACGAGGTTCCCGCCCTGCCATGGGACAGCCTGGCTGCTCATCTTCCAGCTTGGAGCTAGAGGAGGCAGCAGAAATGGGGCAGTGGGCTCCCTCCGTGGTCCATGGTYTCTTCCCTGGGAGGGAGCGCAGAGCTCCTGCCTCAGGCAACAGGGAAAGGGAGAGGTGAGAAGCACGGATGGGAGTTGATGCTTTGGGATGGAGAGCGGTGCCTGAGACAGAGGAMAGGGTGGAGCGAAGGAAGGGAAGGAGGAGCGGTGGGGAAGAAGCAAACCTGGGGGCTGAAATGGCAGGAATCTGCTGGATGCTGCTGCAACCGACCTCCCGGGAATGCGGCTCCGACGCCCCCTCGCCGCGCGGGGACGTTTGCCTCGTCCTGCAAGCGCCTCCTCGCCTGCCGTGCCCCGCAGCTGCCCTGCGTGCAGCTCTGGCCTTCACGGCTGTTGTGAGGAGAGGCAGAACGTGTTTGTTTTTAGCTAGCACACGTTTATTTAAAGAGGGTGGGAGTTCTTTTTCCCCTCAAATTCCTGGGGCCGGTTTGCTCCCTGGCGTCTCTGGTTTGTGTGGCTCGGGGTCCTCGGGGGCCACGAGCAGCGGGGGCCCTCGCTGGGGACTCTGACCTGCCAGAAGCAGCCCCTTTTCCAGGCCAGCGTGTGCCAGCCTGGCCTTGGGATGAGCCAGGAGCTTTCCCAGCAAGGCACRCGGGGTCAGCAAGTGAGGGACAACCCGGAGCAGGGAAAACCTGCGAGGTTGGGGAAGAGCAGAGYGGGTTTTCGGAGGCTTCCAGGTCCTACCGCAGGCACCCCCTTCCCCAAACCTTTCACTCGCCCAAACAAGTGCCCTTCATCTGCCCACGGGACCAGCTCCGTGCCTGTTTCAGGCTTTCCMTGTGCTGCTGTTTCCCAATTAAACCGTGAGCTTAACTTCCATGAATCAGATGAAAGCGGCTCTGTCTCCCACTGTCTTTCTGGCCGATGTTATCTTGACCCCTTTTCCTCCTTTCCCACTCTCCCTGTCTGAAGCCGAGCCTCTAATTTTAGATTGAGGGGGATAATTGAGGGTCCAAAAAGATTGCTGTATAATTTTAACATTTTTTGCAGCGGTTGGGGTGGGAGGCAGAGTTATGAGCTGCCTGCCCTCAAAGCCCTTGTGTTGCGGGAAGGAAGGACACAGGGGAAGGAGCAGGGAGCCGACAGAGCTCTGCTCTGCGCAGAAGCAGCCCTGCTCCTTGGCACTGAGCTAGAACTGGGAGTATCAAAGCTTAAACAACTGCTTTTCCCTTGCAGATCCTCTTGACCGAAGAGTTTGTAGAGAGAATGCTGGAAGACTTGGAAGACCTGAATTCTCCGGAGGAAGTAAGGCCGGGGGTCCCGTGCCGCCCCGGTGCCGAGGCACTGAGCGGGCTGCACCGGAGCCCCACGCTGCCTGTGGTGCCCCGGGGCACCCCAAATTCCCTGGCACCATCTGCCCGCGCTCGGCTCCGCGCAGCGCCCGGTGCTTTCCCACGGGCTGGCAGGCGGGAGCCACGGGAGCAGCGGGAGCTTTGCAGAGCTCTGCTGCGCCGCGCTGAGCTTCCCCCCGCCATGTGAGCCCTTCCTGGGGAACACTTAGCACCCTGTCTCCCATGCACGCCGTATAAATATTCTGCCCCGCTTCAAAGAGCGCTAGCAGAAATGACATGTAATATTTTTAATCCCATTTTTTACAGCTCCCTGCAGACTCTAAAGAAACTTTCCTGGGCTGGTGGAGCGGCCCTCCCGTCCCTCAGCCCGCTCCCCTCCCCCAGGAAAATCTCAGGGCTCTAATTGTTTAATCCTGAGCTGATTTAATGCCAGGGTGTTCTTCCCTGTGCGAGCGAGGGAGCACACTGCTGGCCGTGCGGTGACTTTCAGGCCGGCTTTTATCCAGTTAAACCTAATCCCAAGCTCATTTTGGCCGGTGACACGGACGGCCAGGAGCGCCCGCTGCGAAGGGCCTGGGCGGCCCGTGCGCTCTTGCACAGCACCAGGACTCGAGGCAGCGGCCGCAGCAGAGCAGGCRCTGGGGTCTGAAGTGCTGCGACTTCCCTGAATTAGAAAGGAAAAAAATAAGCACATGCACAGGACGGCTTCTCCGAGAGGATTGCTTTGGAAGCACTTCTGTTTATGAGAAGGAAATGCTTTGGATGAAATGTGATCTCTCCGCATCCAGATTCCTCCCAGGGTTTGTGAGCTAGAGGATCCCAGTTTGGGCCAACTTGGTGCGTTCCTCAGCAGCCCTAGCTGGTTGCTGCTGACGTTCATGCGATAGAAGGAAGCCCAGGCAGAGAGGCTTTCCTTGGCTTTGTAACGAACCACCAGTGGAAACTGAAATTAGCACCGAATTAGCTGTCTGAGCAGCTTTAGCAGCCCCCAGGCTCTCGACTTGCCCCTCCCAGGCCTGTAGGACCACCAGATTATATGGTACAGGCTATATATACATGGACCTGAGGTTAAAAAAGCAGCCCCAAGTGGGGCTCGGGCCGTTTATGTTTCCTAGAGACTGGGGGTGGGAGTTTCTGGTAGTCGTTACCCTGAACCGCCAGCCCAGCACACTAAGATCAGCGGGGACCAACTGCAAAGTTGCCCTCWTACCCGAGCTGCAAACGGCGTGAGTTCAGAAGCAAATTCGGAACCTGTTAGAGCGGAGCAGACAGCTGGAGGGGAACTCCTTTAGCAGGAATCTGCCACTGAGAGTATGTTAATGGCCTCCGGAAACATGGGTGCTGTCAGGGAGGACAGCTAATGGGATAAAGATGGGTGATTCACCCCTTACTCTCCCCTTACACCAGCTCTCTAATTTTCCTAGCCCCTGTGTAGCTCGCGGCACTGTTGGCCTTGCTCTGAGGACTCTCTCAGGAGAGGATCCCTCTGTAATCATCCCGATTTAGCTGCTTTGGGGCTGGAGGGTCGTTGCCGGTGCAGGATCCTACCTAGATACCCCTAGCCTCCCATTGGGGTGCCAGCCGATGGCAGAGGCTTAAAAACAARGTCATTCTGCAAACTGGGCTCCAGAACTGTCCCCAGGTGCTGGGCACCCTCAGGGCTGGCAGTGGGATTGCCCGAGCCGCTGCTCCAGACCCCTCCGTTGTCCGGCCCGGCACGGGGCACGTCCGGAGCCCAGAAGGCTCCCGGTAGCCTGTACAAGCCTCAAACGCAAACAGCAGCTTTAAATATCCAGGCTGCCATTCTGCCACGTAACGTTTTGAAGCCTTTACTAGCTCTGCATCTAGGGTGTTTGCATTCTTTGGACTTTTTCCACTCCCAGGCAAGTCTTCGCCAGCTCAGCAGTGAGAACAGAGTTGGAGCGTGGTGGAGAGGGGACTTTTCCGGCTCTGGGATGTGCTCCTTCACCCCACAGCAGCCCCACAGGGCGCCTCCCTCCTTGCGGGGCCTTGGCRCAAGAAGGGAAGGGAGGACGTGGTCCACGTTAACCCTTGCAGGGTGCCACCTCCTCTTGGTTTGGTCCCCCTGTCCCCTGTCCCCRCCAAAGCTGTTTCTGAGGTGCCTGCAGGGGTGCCCGGGCCCTGCTCCCGCGCGGCTGTCACAAGGGCGTCCTGGCCCTCCATCCTGCGCGGGGTCTGGATGCTGGACTGACTTCCCAGCCAAAGGCAGCGTGTCAAGGGAACGTTTGCCAGAGGCAGCGCTATCTAAACCAGACCAGGGCGCAATCCCACCGGGATTCACCCCAGTAAACCGGGCCTGTGTGCGCTGGGACGGGTGCTTGCACAAGCACCCGAGCAGCGGAGYGGGCGCCGCGGCCGCAGGGCCCGGCCGCGGTCCCGGCTCTCCCCGGCCTTTCCAAACCCTGCCGCTGCTCTCACCTTGCAGAAGGGAGAATTTTAAAGCCTCCCTAATCTCCTCTCTAAAGCAAACAGAGGGATCCTGGGGCCGAGGGGGAGCGGGAGGGAAGCGGACGCGGTGAAGTGGGAGGGGAGAGGCTTGGGAGTTGCAAGTTTTCACCGAGATCAGGGAGGGGAAGTGGTGATGGGAACAGTCACCCTGCAGAACCCATCTGATGAAATAAACAGCGCTGGGGCCGAAGGCTCGGAGCTTTACTTTGGCAGCCGAGGCCCAGACCACATTATCTAATGTCCACTGCTGTCCAAAACATACCGATGGGGAAATGTTTTCTTAGTGGCCTCTTGTTTCAAAAAACAATAATAGCAGAGGGCTGCCTGCCTTTGCAGCGACGTTGCGCTGCTGTGGCTTCGCTTGCAGGGATATACGGTAAGGGCTTCTCCTCCTTGCCTTGCAGTTCAAACTTCCCAAGGAGTACAGCTGGCCTGAAAAGAAACTGAAAGTCTCCATCTTGCCAGACGCTGTGTTCGACAACCCGCTGCACTAGAGCTGAGCGACACCCTCCTCGCCGCTGGGAGAGCCAAGTTACTGTCCAGTACCCAGTGACTCACCGGAGAATTAACGCAGGAAAAACTCGGCCTGCGAATGAAAGGGTTTGCTGCACAACCACTGCAAGCAGGAGAGGAGCCACTCAGCAGCAGCCCGGAGCGAACTGAGCCCTTCCCTTTAGCCTCCCCGGGGCTGAGCTCTCTGGGAACAGCCTGCCTATGTGTGAGTGCGAGTGAGAAATATTTAACTATGAAAATTAGCAGTAAGAATCCTTTCTCTCTCCTAGCTCCAGAACTCCCCTCTGCCTCAGCCCAGGGTGTAGACGCTCTGCACGCCTGTATTTACACATGCATTCTGCCAGGTGCGAGCCTATAATCCACGGATTAAATGTTCTTTACGTGACTCTGGAGTCCTTTTGTTAGCCAAACTTTTACTGACTGCAGAACTGTTCTTCCATGTGCTATTTTTTTTTTCTGCTTTTCAGAAACGGAATGGTATTTCCCCTGTTTAAAGGAGGCCAAAAGCTCACATGCTTGAAGCTGAACAGATTTAAAGATGAACTTTCCAGTTCAGTCAAGAAAAACAAACCCAGATCCTCCCTGCCCTCAAATTAGGCATGTTTTAAGCGGCGGTCTCGGTGCTATTAGCCATGGTATCGCTGCAAACAGAGGCAACTCTATTCTCGCGCATCCTGTCCCTGTGCCTGAACCCCGGGGAAGGTCGCAACCTCTGCTTTTGCACAAGCAGGAGGAAGAAAGCTACCGGGGCGGGGGAGATCTCCTGTTTACAGTGTGTTTATCTTTAAAGAGATACTGTCAAGTATTTTTTCCTYGCCATTGTACAGGATTTGAGGAGCTAGAGGGCCCCGTGTGTTTGCAGCGCGGCGGGAGCCAGCGGGCGGCTGCGGAGCGCCTGGAATGGAGGTGCCCGGCAGGGCCCGGAGGAGACGCGGCCTCCGCAAAGCCGCCTCTGCCGAGGTCCCCGCGGGCTCGTGCCCTGGCGCAGCTCTGCTCTCCTTCCCTCGTGCCACGCTGGCTCTTTGGTGTCCCTTTCCAGGCAGGTTTGGAGTGGAAAGCATCGACGTTTGTTTGAGGTGCCCCTCTCCTCCTCGACGGCGGCGGCTCTGCAGCGCAGGGAGCTGCCGCAGGCTCCGCAGCCTGGGCCYGATGCATATTCCTGATGCCTTGTGGTGGCAGCTCCTGTGAAGCTCCTCTTCCCGCCCGTTCTCCCGACAAGCTCACTGGGCTCTTCCTTCATCCCGGTTTATGCACAAGAGCCCCTGTGGTCTTCACGCAGATAGAACAAAAGCTTTTAACGCTTAACTCCCCTCATCAAACAGCAAGGTCCGAGAGGCCTCACAGCACCCCGGGGTCRGTTTGCTGTTTGCTTGCTGATTTAATTCCTTCCTGGCGCAGCCGCCTTTGATCTTTTCTTATATTGGTGTTGGTCRAGAAGCAGAGCTAGGAGCCCCAGCGCTTTCCTTGGACTGGCAGAGTTCGTCCGTGGCCTCAGGCGAGTCACTCCGTGTCTCTCTGTACAGAGAGGGTGATTATTGACTAGAAGGCTGCAGGACCTACCGAAGCATGCCAGGATTCGCAGGGGAGGGCGTGCTTTGTGTACAAAGTAGCATTTCTATTATTATAATTGTTGTTATATTATAATTTAAGGCAGGCCACGTGCAGGGTCCGGTCTGCGCGGCGGTACCTTCCTTCCCGGAACGGAAGCAATTTCCATGGAAATGAGTTGGTCGTTTTGTCTGAACTCAGAGGATCATCCGAAAATCCCGCTGCGAAGGAGCGAACTTGGAGCTCTGTGCAGCCTGCCAGCCACAGGGATTCCTGTCCATCCATGGGATCTCTTGGCCAGTGTCCACCTTAGCAATAAGCACGTGCCGTCTCCTGCGCTGCAGCCACATATCCCAGGGCCAATACGGGCTGGAAAACAGCAGCAGAATCCACCGGTCCGGCCTCAAAARTGACGTGCCCAAGTGCCCCGTCACAAGATAAGGGACCCGAGCCCGTGAGGAAGGGGCAGCGACTGGGATGTTTTCCCAGATCAGGGCACGGAGACACCCATGAGAGCCCCCAACCCTGAGGGGACGAGATGCTGTGGGGCGCGCGCCCCGCGCTGCGCACGCCGGGCGCCTCCTCCACGCCGGGGTTTTCCTCCTGGAAAACTCCACCTCTCGTGTGGTGTTTTCCCCTCCCTGTTGACTCCCAGCACGCGCTCTGGTTTGGGTTTTCGTGGCCTTCGGAGGGAGCGCACTGAACACGTTCACAAAGGCGCCCAGGATCCGGGTGCGCGCGTGGGTATTTTTGTTCCGTGTCATGTATTTATATATAGTTGTGTGTATTTGAGTTACGAACAGGTGGCATGCCAGAAATCGTTGTTTCTGAGACACTTTTCACACAGATCTTTGCTGGTAGCCAGATAACAATTGGCTCGAGGGAAGGAAAGGAAACCTTCCCACTTGGCTAAGGGGGAAAATTCTAGACAAGAAAACTGCTGAAATGGGAAACTCTGTCTTCTTATTGGACCAGCTCTGGTCAAAGTCAAYCTCTGAGCCCCAAGGTCGTGTTGCTGCCTCCCAACAGCTGAACAAGAAAGTTGCATGGTCCAGTGTTGCGAAGGACTCGGCACCGACAGGGCCTCCCCTCTCCTGCTTCGCTCCAAGGTTGCAGTCGAAGGCTGGACTTACTGGTGAGCAGCACCCGGAGTGTGGATATTGTCCTCCCGAGGCGAGGGACATGCCGGCATGGGGAGCAAAGCAGGAAGAAAATTATATATTTTAGGGGGCTGATAAGTTTAAGAACGGGAAATGCACCAAGGGCTAAAAATGCCCTGGTAGTTTTTTAGCCCAAACCTGCTGAGATGGTAGCTCCACAGGTGCTGTTTTTTCTCTAGATTGTGTCGAAGGTCTGAGGCAGGATTATATGAAACCAAAACCCCTTGGCTAAAGATAGAGATCTGGATATAAATGGCAGTTTCAAAGAAGTGGGTACAGGTTTTCTCCCTCCCACAGAAGTCTCGTGATGCAGACAAACGAGGAAGCTCCCAAAGACGACGAGGAGCATTTACTGCAGACCTGCCATGCCTTGAAAATGCAACACGGGACTGCAGCTCCGCAACGAGAGGAATCCCCACGGCCAGCACTGCCTTCCCTCTGCACACCTGGCTAAGAAAAGGGGAGAAAGAACAAATGTGCAGCTTCARTATTGAAACAGAGTGGTCAGTGCCGCCCGACGTGGCCCACATTGGTGACATTTCCAGTGGCTGGACGGCCGGTGGCTGCTGAGTGCGGTGGCTTTGGGGCTGGCGGCTCTTTGCTGCGTGGATTTGCCCGTGGTTCGCAGTGAGCTTGGGAAGCCCCTCTCTCCAGATATCCTGTGGCTCCCGCATGGCTTTGCAAGTGACACCATCGGGTCATCAGATGCTCTTTGTGTGTGTGTGTGTGCGGGGGGGTTGTTGCTTTTCAGCTGAGACCAGTGGAAATGCTTCGGGGCTGCAGCTTTAGAGAAAGGCAAAAGAGCAGCTGAGAGCAACGCTGCTGCACTGGGCAAACCCAGCCGCCCTGCCAGCCCCCGGGGCTCGTGCCCTCCGTGTAGACTGTACATTGTGCCTTATTTCTCCTCCACGGGAAGCTACGAGGGCGGATGGACCGTCAGGGAGTCCCTTTCTGTGCATCGGCTCCCGTGGATGAGGGCGGCTTGGGCCCAGGCCGCTGCATCCCGAAGGCCGCCGTGCCGGGGGCTCGTGCCCGGAGCCCTGAGGAGCTTCGGGGCTCTGGGGCCGCTCTGGTTTTCACTGAGCTCTTAGTTAAGCTCRGGTTATGTAGGAACGTACTACTTTTGTGACATTTTCTCTTGTCCGCTGGCCACTTGTTTTCTTCTTGAAGGAAAAGGGGGGAAAAAACACTCTTCTGTTCAACACAATTCCCCAATTTCAAATGAAAGATGCCGCGAAGGTGCTGGTTCCCTTTGGCACGGCCGCGGGGCCGTCCGGCCCGTGCTGGGTCCCGCAGGCCCTTGGGAACGTTGTTATTTTACATTGCTCCARTGCTGCCTCCTCTCCTTGGAAAGCAGAAGGGAGAGGAGGGGGGAAAGCAGAAGAAAAGCCCCCCSCTCGCTTTCGGCAGCGAAATGGATGCGGAGCTCCGGGTGCAGCCACATCCCTGGGGTTCCCTTGGGATGCCAGCGGGAAACGGTGTCCTCACTCCTTCTCCACAGCCTTGCCTCCTTTTTTTTTTAAGTATATATAAAAGACAAAAAAAAAAAAAAAAARRMAAAAAAAAAAAAAGGAAAGCTAAACTAGCAGAGGTTTTTAAATATTTTATATTAGTTTCTAATGTAAATTCTTACCTGGTTATTGCAGTGCTGGGTGCATTTCGCCTGCACGTGACTTTTGTAATATTTTTGTGAATCACTAAACGGTTTTGTTTGGGTTTGTTGTATTTTTTTTCCCCTCCTCCCGTGTATTCCAAGTGCATTAAACGTATTTGCAGAAGTGCCCGCGTCCTCCCGTGCGGCCTCCGGGGACGGGCGGCGCTTTGGGAAGAAGCCCCACGGCGCCGCTGGAGGTTGCAGCGATGCCCTGGGACCGCGGAAGGGCTTTGCAGCCGCCTTCATGTGCTCCTCCATTATAAAATTCCCTTGGGGACAGAGAGGCTGGAATATGGAGATAGGGGGGGAAAAAGGGGGAAACGGGTGTGGGGCTGAAATGCCGACTGGGGATGATTCAGCGCTCGCCCCAGTTGCCCTCCTGGCACCTGGTTTATCCCGCAAAGGAAGCGGGATCGTGTGGGACCCCCAACGGTATGGAAAGCCCCTCCGGGTGTCGGGTTGAGCGCGTCTGGCTGGRAAGCGGCGGCCGGGAGCCCCTCGTGGAGCTGCGGCTCCGAGCTTCATTAGGAGCGGTTTGCTGCTAATGACGCCGGCAGCTTCCCTAATTAATACCGGAAGAGCCGCGAGCAGCTGCCAAGCGCGGCGAGGGAGCGCGTTTGTTTATTTATTTCATTTTATGACTGCGTTGAGCGCGGTGGGAAGGGCAGCGCTGGGGCTGCTTTCCTGGGCAGCAGCGCGACGGGTCCCAGGATGGGGTGATGGGTCCCGGGATAACGGGACAGGGTGGTGGGTTCCGGGATAATGGGATGGGGTGATGGACCCCGGGCTCCCTGCCCACCCGTGCTGCAGTGCCAGACACAGAACGGGGCCTTCCCTGGCGCTCCAGCAAGTTTGGTATCTCCCATTTCAGCCCTTTTCCCCCAGAAAGTCTGGTTGGGATTTGGTTTTTTTTTTTTTTTTTTTTAATTCTTCTTCCTCTTTTTTCCTCCTTTTTCCCCAAAGGGAGATTTGCTAAGGCGCTTTTCCCACCGCCCGCGTTGCCTCGGGCTTCCCAGCGCTCTGGGTGCTCCCCCTGCGCGGGGATCCCGCGCTTTGCCTTAAAAGGAGATTTCGGGGAGGCTTCGATTAGCGCCGGGTTCCTGGCGATTCGATGCCGATTCCCGGCGGTGCTGCCGGTCCCGGCGGCGCGAGGCTGCGGCCGCCTGCGGCTTCAGGACGGAGGGGAGCCGGGAATGATCCGCGCGGCCTCCCGCGATCCCGGCCAGCGCCTTATGGCACCCAGAGCCTCGTGCTGTGGATTTTGTGCCCGGCCTGCTGGCTCCAGCCATGAGGAACCCCCACRGCCTCCCTCATGCACACGAGCTCACTGGAAAAGCCAATTTCTTCTTGATTCGGATGCGGGGACGTTTCCTTGGTCATTCCGGGCACCCAGCTCGTGCCAGCCCCTTTTCCCTCCGCTGCCGGGTCCCACATTTTTGTCCTTTTTATCTGGCTCTTCTTCCTTTYGTTTGGGGTTTGCGGCTTTGACGCCGTTTCCTGCACACGCGGCCTCATCCTGCCGGGGCCGGGCGAGCGAAGGCGCCTCCCGTGCGGCCCTGGGCAGCGGGGAGGCCGGGAGCGGGGCCGGGAGCGGGACCCGGAGCAGGGCTCGGAGCGGGGCCCGGAGCGCGGCCGCCGTGGTGCAGCAGGGAAGGAGAAGCCCTTTTGCCAAACTGGCCGGACCAGAGCGTGACACAAGCGCAGGAAATGAGTCACCGCCGGGGCCACCAGCATCGCCCTGCGCGCCCCAGCGCCGGGGGCGGCCGCCCCGCCACAGACGGGCTCCCCGGGCCCCACATTCGGCTGCTTGGCCTCAGGAGCGGGCGCCCGCCGGGCAATGCCCCTTGGCCAGCGCTGAGGCCCCGCTCCGCCCTTGCTCGCGCTGTGCGGGTATCTCAGTTGTGATCTYGCTTTCCTTAACCCGCGGCTCTCCAGGCCTGGGGGCTGCCAAGCCGGGCCGGGGGCTGCGGCGGCGCTGAGGCCGCGCCGCTCAGCGCACCAGTGCCGGGCCGCCCCAGCCGCCGCCTCACGGCGGGGCGCGGCGCGCGGGACGCGCGGGGGCGGGGCTTGCAGCGGGGGCGGGGCCTGCCGCTGCAGGGGGCGGTGCTTGCC